TATGCACCACTTTGAAGTATACATCTTCTCCCCCTTTTGTCAAAATCAAAAAGGGTATTTTGAAAATTTTAACTATGTATAACTTCTTGAAACCCTCCCCCTATCAAAATGAATTTTTTAGGAAAAATGATAGTTTTGAGATCATTGGGCAAAAGGTGCATTTACAACGAAACTCCATCTAAAAATGAAAACTCCCCCTAAAATGATGCAAGTTTAAAAACTTTATTTTTTTCAGGGGTTTTTAGGGATCATTTTCTAAAAAAGCATGATTTAAAGATGAATTTAAAAAATATTTAATCATGCAAACCAAGGCTAAAGTAAATGAAAGCACGTATGGGATAATGTTTTATCTTTGAAAATAATTAAAACCAAATAAAATATCTTATCCCAATAAGTGAGAAGAACTTACCTTGGCTTATGCCGCTCTTTCTTCGGCTTTGAATATACTTCTTTCTCTTTTGATTTTCTCCGTCTTGAGTCTTCAAAAAAATTTCCATTGGAGAAAGCTTTTTTATTTCTTCCTCGTTACTCTTTCTTCGTCTTCTTCATCACTTGACGAATTAGAGTCCTCGGATGTTTCATCCGTCTCACTTGACTCATCATTTGAGTCACTTGAGTCATCACTAGACTCATCCCTGGATGCCTTGAACGCATTGGTTCGTTTTGGGTCTTCTATCAGATATTCTTCTTTCATCTTAATCATCAAAAGCTCGTGAGAATACAAAGAAGACCAAATGTGGGCAGTGCTTTCAGTTGCACATTTGGGTAAAAGATCTACAATACTACTATGCCATTCTTTTGGCAAAGAAAGTAAAATTTTAGTATTTAGTTCACTTGTAGAATATTCCTTACCCAACTTACCCAACTTGTTGATTATTTCATTGAACCTTCTATTGGCATCTTGGATTGACTCATGTTGGCCAATTTTGAAACTTTCGTACTCCGAGTTTCCGAGGGCCAACATGGTTTGCTTCGTGGAGGTGTTGCCTTCATGCGTGGCTTGAAGCAAATCCCATACCTTCTTGGCCGTTTTGCACGAGCACGCATGTGCAAACTCATCGGGTCCAAGGGAGCAATGGAGGATGTTGATTGCCTTTGCATTCATTGATAACTTTCTTTTATCTTCCGGAGATAATCCTGCAAGATTACCAATACTCGGCACAAATGGCCCGTGAAGTACATTCAACCATAAATCAAAATCAATTGATTGAATGAAATAATCCATCCGCATTTTCCAATAGGAATAGTTTTGGCCATTGAAAAACGGAGGGCGGTGAATGCTTTGGGAATCCATTTGAGCCATTTTTCAATAAATTTGAATTTTTTAAAAATTAGGGAAAATAAAATTTTGAGATCATAAAATTCAAATTTAAAAAGGGACACAACAAGTGGATCTTTGTCGTAGATGCGGTTAAGCACTTTCAACTACGAAAATGCTCCGATACCCGGTGTTAGTCGGTTTAGTCGTTGTGCCCACGCCTTAGAGGGGGGTGAATAAGGCGTTTTAAAATCTTTTCGGAGTTTAATAAAAACGGTGTTGGCAAATGCGGAAGCAATATATAAAACGCAGAAATAAAAGCGTAAATAAAATGCACACCGATTTTATACTGGTTCGGGAACTCCCTACTCCAGTACCTCGAGGCTCCTCCTCAAGGATTTCCGAATCCACTAAGTCCCGGTCTCTTGAACTCCGTCAAAGCACCGCACTAGTTTGGCAAACAACCCTTGCCAATAGGATTCACTCCGAGATTTCACCACGGCTATCTCGAACCGTTTACAACGAAGATTTAACGGCTATCTTCTACCGTTCCCCCAAGGATTTCAAAGGCTATCCTTGAACCTTTACCCAACGTGAGAATTTGACGGCTATTCTCGACCGTAAGAAGATGTGTTTGAAGAACACAAAAGTAGATTCTACACAACGGCTAGAATATTAAAATGAAGAACAAAACTTAGCCGGTGTAGAAGGAAAGTATACTCTCTCAAAAATACAATTCAAACTTATGAATATGAGAGTATATAACTAGAAACACAAGCTCAAAGTGTGTGTATAAAAATCAGGAA